TCTTTAAATTTTCACTGTCACTTGCCATCACTTTCAAACAATCACAACTGAGCCATCATATTGTAATACAGCTTTATAATTTCATTTCATGCTGAGGTTACTATTTATATACAGTGCCTTCCTGTAAATCACTTTGACCTGTGTAGAAAATGGATGTTGCAATCAATTGCCTTGTTTCATATTTCTAAATGTTTGTATAATGGATGGATTACACTGGCATGCACCCATCTCACTGGTACATCTGTCATCTCAGCTTCTGGATTGCATCAATTTGTCAATTTTAATCAACTTTCTATAGTGAGCATAAATTGTTGAGTTTAGAAAATGTGACACATTTACCCTACTTATTATTTATTTTGGCACTGTGTTTGCCTAATTGAAGTCTTGAACAACATGGAAGGAACTATAGTGTTACCAGTGGGATATTAATGAACATGCATGATTAACATTCTGTCTGAATTTTTCTATGCATCAGAACTAAGAAGAAGGTCAAAATAGTTATGTATTCATTAGCCAACAGTATTTAACATTCCTGATAATTTTTCATTTGCTACAGAAAGTGGGACAAAAATTGTTCTAAGCCCAATCAAATAAATTAAAATAAAACAGATTGTAAGGAATTGAACCCAACACTTCTATGACCTCTGGTGTCTACTGCTAATTTTACTTATTACTTACTTACTTACTTATATACATAGAACTCATGGTCTATGGCTTTGTTGTTGTTGTTAATTGCGAAGTCGTGTCCGACCCATCGCGACCCCATGGGCAACGTTCCTCCAGGTCTTCCTGTCCTCTACCATTTTCTGGAGTCCATTTAAGTTCACACCTACTGCTTCAGTGACTCCATCCAGCCACCTCATTCTCTGTCATCCCCTTCTTCTATTGCCCTCAATCTTTCCCAGCATTAGGCCCTTCTCCAGTGAGTCCTTCCTTCTCATTAGGTGGCCAAAGTATTTGAGTTTCAACTTCAGGATCTGGCCTGTCTATGGCTTACAACATTTAAAAAACTACCACATAAAAATCTCACCCCACTCATCCATGGCTGCAGCAACACAATCAAATCAACCACTTGATTAATTGTGTCTCCGTTCGTGGTCCCCAGGCCCACTGACAAAATCACATTTTTAGGGCCTTTTGGAAAAGTAACAGGGTGGGGGCTAAATATACCTAGGGGAATGATGTTCCATAGAGAAAGGGCGACCACTGAGAAGACCCCTTTTCCTGGTCCCACTAGTTGTACGATGGGACCCCTAAGGTACTCAGCCCTCTTGTCCTGGTTGTCCAGGTGGATATAATAGGGGAGAGGCAGTCCTTCAACCCCTGGCACCAAGCCTTGTAGGGTTTTAAAAGTGGTAACTAGCACCTTGAATTGTACTTCTTTTAAACTGAATGTTTGTTATATGGGTATATGTGCATGCTGATGTATTCTATTTAGGACTGATAGGTACCTGAACAGCAATATCAATAAAATATGTATGCATATACGTGATATCCAAGTCCCTCTATGCATTATTGACATCAGTGAGAGATATTAAATAAATTAATAAAATTGAAACAATTGCATTTCTGAGTTATGTATGAATTCAACCTGCATAACTTTCAGTGTCATATTGTATGTGTGTGTATTTAATACATATTAGAATATAAAAAGCTTTTTCAATTTAACGTTTCTATTCTCAAAATGATTCCAAATCCAGAAAGCATACTGAAAGTACGACTGCTGGTATCTGGCATTATTGTTTTTCAACTCTCCTTTTAAATAGTTATTTATTGTTGAGCAAGGCAATACAGGATTCTAATCCATACATCTGTTAAACTTAATGAATGGAAATGTCTGCCCCTCATCTTAATGAGTGAGGACAGTAAATCAAAGTTGTATCCATAGAGTTGTCTTAAAATTATGCTCTTGTTGTCACAAACAAAAACAATTGTATCAGCTTAGACTGAAATTGAGGCGTTGCGTGATAAGTTGTTTACTTTCCAAAAATTAATGCTCATAGATTTAATACCTTGTGAGACATAAGGCTGTGTTACAGTCCTCCCTAGTCTTCTGAGTATATGAAATTACTTGTATTTGATTACATGAATGTCACCCATACTCTGTGCTACTGTAAATCAGATGTAAGATTGCCTCATATGATGTATTGGTCTTAACTGTGGACTACATTGGACTTTAAAAAAAGTTGCTTTAACCACATTTTTGTACTGTACCTATGTTTGGTAGTTGGTTGAAGTACTTTGGCCATGGCTATTGGTGGCAAAAGTCTGTAATCAACTTCTCTTTCTGGTCTTCATATATAGACAGACAAAAAAGGGACAGATAAAAATAGGGCTGCTTTAGCAACAGTATTTCAGATCTTCCTCTTTTCACCCATCCCGGATACATGGGAGGGTAAACTTGAAACAGTGAGAGAGTTCAGGAAAGATCTGATTGAATCAACACATTATTCTTTATGTAATCAAAGTCCCAATAGAGCAGTCACAATTTAGGTAGCTTGCTTATATGGCTTGCTTAACATCTTCCATGATTCTGAAGGCTTTAAATCCCTGTGTAATCTTTGGCTAGGGCTCATCCTAGCACTCTTCTCAGCCCCAGTTCCTCTGCCACAGCTCTTTTTTTCTCTGCAGAAAAGAATCTGCAGAATCTGGCCATTTGGTTAGAATGACAAAACAGGGCTTATGAGTAACTAAACCTCTTAGGTACATGCGTGTGATGTCATGCCAAGAGGCTCATTTCATCACTTGCACAGTAAACAATCAGTTGCACAGCATCACTTGCACAGTAAACAGTAATAGTACAATAGTAGAGCTAAATACACTCCCATCACATTTAAAATGTCTCTTATTTCTCTTGCTGACTAATTAGTCATTTTTAGGTACTGGCAAATAAAACTGTTGGCATGATAGCCCTGCTCAAATTGATGGTTCAGACATAGGATGTCGTAGAAAGAAAAATACCTGTTTGTTGCAGTTTAAGAATTGGTTTGTTTCATTTTGGGCCAGCAAGTTTTGTGGACCAAGCCACTACAGTTTGTAGTGATTTCTGGTGAAGAGCCAGTCATGCGTACCTTATTTATAATGAGATTTAAACAAACCATGGAATGTGCAAACCCAGTCTGCCTTGACTGATGGACCAGAAAGTTGACATTGAGTTCTGAAACTAAGAATAGCCATACTGGTTAAATCTTGGAGACTACCAGAGAATAATAGGGCCCGAAAGTTTTGTTTTGTTTTTTTAAACGGCCCAATACCAAACAACTTCTGTACTGTTTCCAAAAAACTATATCTGTATCAAGTTGAGTTCAGCTCAACTTGAAGGAGATTTTACTTTTTTCTTTAAACTCTGTGCAGGTATGCTGATAAAAGAACTGTAGACAAATGTCCAGCATGCCTTTCTAACCCATTCTGTTATGCATTGGTTCACTTGAGCAAGTCACTATCTATAGATTATTCAGAGTGTCAAACTTCATAAGGACTTTTCTCCGCTACCAGATCTGAGCTGCAAAAATCCAGATGATTACTAGAAAGCAGCAGAGATATAGAATTCTCTAACTCTTCACCATTGTCTGATGACTGTCCTGATTTTTACAGTCTAGAATCTAGATCATTAATTAGCTTTCATTGTTCTGAAGGCAAATGATATTTGTAGTGAGGTATTTGGTTACCCTATTACTGAGTTTAACTGCATTAGCATTATCATTATAACCTACCTTTATTTTGTACACCTTAAGACAGTATACTTAACACTCTTTTCTGTTTTCCTTATGGCAACAACTCTGTTGGGTAGGTTAAGCTGATTTTCCTCCTTAAATGATAGAGGTATGTAGTTGCAGAATACAATGATGCTTAAATTGCTGTATTCAAACTTCTGCATATCATGGATACATTGGAGAACCTTGAACAAATTGGCTTCTGCTATATAAATGTGAAAATATGCCAGAGATTTGACCAATTACTTTAAAAAATGGCCTTACTTTCAAAGTAAATGTATGATGGCAACTCTTGTAGAGTAGTGCTGTAATCACTGCATCCAATATATCAGATATTCATACAAACACACCTCCTTTATTTCTTATATTTTCTATTGGGTATGAATGGCTTATTTTCTCCATAAAATGTATCACCTTATAGGTATTATTATGTAGTTCCATTCAGTGTATTTTAGGAATACTTGCAGAGCAGAGCTGGGCTAGGCTTTTTTTTTTTTTTTTTGCAAAACTGTATTTTTACTAGTGGCATACAGTCATGCAGATTGATTAGCCTGATGGAGGAAGAAAGGGATGTTGTGCTTGGTGATTAATGGTATTTCTTCAAATATTTCATTCAGTACTTCCCCCCCCCCCAAGTAAACTTGCAGCAATCATAGTTGATTTTATTTGAATCTTTTTCTTCTTCCTCTTGATCTAAAATTTTTGGTTGTTTCTAACTCTAGCATCCTTTTATTTTTATTTTATTTTATTTTATTATATTATTTTATTATCTCACCAGGGACTTGCTCCCTCTGTAGACTGTTTAAGCAGAACTCCAACAATGCACTGGAAAATTCTCTCAGGATTATCAGCATTGAAAAATAGTCATTGTTTGAATAATTCAGTCATATTTATATGCAAAAAAGGTACATTCAAGTGTGATTGTAAAAATAAGAAACAAATTCCGTAAAGTATCACAAATGGAATATACTTATCTAATAGCTCTGAGAAATCTGCTTCAGGTTCCTGCTCCACAGTGGCCGAGCTTGGTTTCTTTGTCATAATCTTTCAGTCTGAGTGTGGTAACCTTAAAGGCAAACCTTAGGGAAAATTTCAGGAGAAAGAGCAAAATGCAAGTACAGAATTCAGAGGAAATCCCTTCACCATATTGAAAGAATGCTTTAATTGTTAGATTTTGGTAGGTTGTTTCCCCCCCCCCCCAAAAAAAAAAATGCTGATAGTCATCCATCCAGAGTTCTCTGATCCTGACTGATCCTGGCTCTTGTCCTCTGCTTTCTTCATCTCCAGGCAAGTGTGTAAAGAATTTACCGATCTTTTGGCCCAAGACCGGACGCCCATTGGCAATAGCCGCCCAACGCCCATCTTGGAGCCAGGGATCCAGAGCTGCTTGACTCACTTCAGTCTCATCACTCATGGCTTTGGGTCCCCAGCCATCTGTGCTGCTCTGACTGCTCTCCAGAATTATCTGACGGAAGCTCTCAAAGGCATGGACAAGATGTTCTTGAACAACAACTCTGCTAACAGGCACACTTCTGGGGAAGGACCAGGTAGTAAAACTGGAGACAAGGAAGAAAAGCACAGAAAATGAGAGAGAGAGAGAGAGAGAGAAACAAAACAAAACCCAGAAAGCAATCTAATGAAAATAGGGGGTAAAACAGAAAGGAGAGATTGAGAGCGATCCTTTGGGAGGAAAAACATTTAATTTTAGCTTTAAAATATTGGATTGGGTTTTGAAAGAATTGTGCTAGGTAGATCACATCTGCAAGTAATTTAAAAAAAAAAAGAAAATGTCAGAGGTGCACAGTGGAACAGGAAGAGTGGCTCAGTGGCTCTATGGCAAAGGAACTTTTGAAGATAACATCCAGGATTTTCCACTTCTGTCATCCCACAATCCTTTTTTAAAATAATTTTTGGTGGGGATGAAATTATAACAGATAAAAGCAATCAATAATTTATTGGAAGAATCATTTTGATAATGTTGCTATGTTGGCTGAGGTACACAGTCTGTTTCTGTATTATTACTATTTTTAAAAATCTATCTAAAGTAGAAAGAAAAACCTAAGGGATGGATATATTTTATATTGGACTGTCCCGTTCAGAGCAAGTTTCCTGATTTTGTGCAAAATGTTGCTGTTCTCTCTCTCCGTGGTCTAAATAGCTGAGCCTCAAATTTATCAGTAGCATTTGGCCCAAAGATCTTCTAATAGTGGGAAGAAAGGGGGAAACAACCAAATCTGGGACTGTCCAAACCATGAGTCATTAAGAAGAATTGTTAGTAACTACATGCAGAGGTGATGGGTTCAGACTCTGAAAATGTTAAAATGTAACTAACTACAGTATATGGATGAGTAAGTGGAAGAGCTAATGGATTGCTCTCAGGTGCCTCTGCTTGTTCTGGATATTTTACCTAAAGTGTTAATCAAAAGCTGCCCACTTAACATATTTAATCCTAAAACTTGGGGGGGGGCTGCAAATAATCATTTTTTTCTATTAATAAGGATGTGTAGAATTTATGTATATATGCTCCATTAAGGTATTGAATTGGATCCAGACTTGGTAATATTTGGAGGAGACCCATTGTAATCAAAATTAGCCATAACTAACTCTAGACCTAAAACTCAGCATGACTAAGTCTGAAACCAAATAGCTGACAATGAGAGTCAGCCCTTTGTTTCATAATACAGTTTGCCCATCATGAAGCAAACATTTTCATGAAGGTGTACCTGTGGAAAAAAGTTGCACAGGCATGCAACAACTGTGAACAGGAAAGGGAAAAGATTTTGTGGATAGATATAAAGATCAACATGCCTTTTTTTTTCAGTTGCAACTTTTTTCATAACTACTGTTGTATGGAGGGCAAATGTTACTACTAAAATGGCCCTGTGCCTGAAACTGGTAATCTTTATTCCTAGTTTGTTTATACACATGGAGCTCTCACCTGGAACACTACCTTTTACATTTCTATGAAATAACTTGTCCTATTGAAGGGGAGGGTTCAAAGTGTCCCATAAGAGGCACAAATGAAAGTGTGTGCTACAAAAGTGAAAATCCACGTATGGAAGACATTCATGTATGCATTGGAGTGCAGTTAGACTGGGAACAGTAATGGTAGAGATAATGTCACAGATAATGGTATCAATCTGTACATTTTTATACTAAAATTTGAGCAATGACTGCCTCTCTTTAAAATGTCTCAGATCACAGACACACTTTTTGTGCTTTTAAAGAAATGTTAATAAGAAGAATGTCTTGATAAGTATGTTAAACCTTCTCAGGAGTATGCACCTTTTTAATTTTCTTCTGTTTCCCAAAGCTTTGCCCGCTTGGCTTATGAGCTTCTTCAAAGAGGACTAGAGCTCCGTACACATTTCATCAGGTACTGAGATGAAAATCCACAATTCTGAAATTTTTCTTTTTCAAATCAAAGTCAGTTGTTTTGGAATTCTGCAGGTGTACTTCTTTAAAGAAGCTCAAAGGGAATAGATAAGGCTTCACTAACTGAGCAAGTGATGCTGATTTAGAAGCAAATATTATGTCCTCCAATATTAAAAAAAAAAAACAATTGGGAGGTGGGCCAATAGTGTTTGATGCACAGAGTAAAAACACAGAGATTTTTTAAAATATATTTCCTCTTTTAGAAAAGATATAATAAGTATCATGGCTCATTATTAAATTAGTATCTAAATTTAAAGAAATCAGTTTCTCCTCATTATCAAAGGAGTGTTGCAAATTTTGACTTGGAAGATAAATAGTTGTCTTGACCCTGGGGTAGAAGAGGAGGAATTGGCCATTTTCCAATAATTTACAACAATTAAGTACGAATTACATTTTTAAAACATTTAACTCCTTTTTGGAGTAGGTAGGAGAAAAAACCATCCTTAAGGGGAAAATGAATGTCACCCTGCATGTTATCACTTTGCAAAGGTTTTGTTGAATTGACAGTGGCTATGGTATTTCATGCATTTTGAAAGATTGTTTCCCTTTGTCACAACAGCTTGTGTCTATGCTTCATTTTGGCCTCACATACTGAATTCATTCTAGAAGATGAGAATAGGATAAAGATGTATTATGCCTGCCACCCTGATCCCAAACACATTATATGGCTGTAAGTTCCATTAATTTTGGTGGAATTTCATTCCACTTAAGGGAACGTTGAAGGCTTGGGTCTATGGCTAATCATCCATGCTGAAATCAACTTTTTATTTTAAATGCAGTTTTCAAATGCTGTTTGGGTACTTGCAGTTTTCAGTAAAAGTTATATCATTTTACACTATAAGCTGGGATCACATAATACAGCAGCGGTTAATGTTTCATTTGAAGCAACTGTACATATCATATGCCAGACAGTTGCAACTTTTGCAGCATATATACAGAAATGTATCAATGTGCAGATGCTTGAAATACTCTTAATTTATAATTATCAGTCCTGTTTCCATATAGGAAGCTATATACCATAGGTAGTAAATTATCTGTGTGCATTTAGAAGCTGACTCTGTGATTCCTAATTCCCAACCAAGCCAATTAAGATGTACTTAAAGCTATTTTTTCACATTGAGAAATTCTGGTATCAGGAATTCACCATTTTGTTTGTTTTTAATGAGACATGTTCCCAAGCACTTAAATAGGAGTCTATTGTCTATGGACATCGTAAGGCACCATTTCTAAGTATATTTATCTAGGCAGGAAAGTTCATCACTCTGTGGCGCTTCCACATATAATATCTAAATACTAAAATTGTAGTTCTATTGACTTTAATAGGAATTTATTTAATGCCAACTATTAGTTGAGTTGTGAGAGAAGCTTTAAATTCTGATCTTAATTCATATCTGTCCACTTTCAGTAATATTTTAGGAGGAGGAGTGATTAAGCACAGCATTTTTACAATAAGATTGTGATCATGGCTATTGCAGAACTTGAAAAATCTTAACTGAATTTCCATATGACATTAATTCATTTTAATTAGGAATATAGTAAAAACAATAGTTATGAAATCAATAGCATACTTTCTTATTTTTTGGTCAGTGATATTATCTTAGTGTAGCCATTTTATTCTACTTGAGGAAAAAATGTTTTGGTTCATTTTTGCTGTCTTGAGTACTAGTGTTTTTTAAAAAAGCTGCCCAACTTATCAAGGCAATTAACAGGCTAAATAGTTAATATATTAAATAATGCAGTGTAGTAGGAACTGTCCCTAAGGGAAAAGAAATGTCTTTCATCATGCAACACAGTAAAGTCAAAACTACCATTCCATCTACCCAGTTTGCTACATTTATTTTTCAGAGAATTGAGTATGTGTTGGACTTGATCCTATTAAAGCCAATAGAATTTAAATGTGCTTAATATTGACTGAACTACACAGCATACTTTTAAGATATCTTTCTTTATAGGACATACTGGAAATTTGTATCTTGTATGTATGTCTTGTCCATTCTAGCATCCAGAAAGAAAGAAGAAAGGAAAGGCAAAATGGATCTTTATGTTCATATTATTTTAGAGGACCCTCTATGGTACTTGAGGGCAGTTGTAGTATGGATTGCTTTTCTCTTTTCTCTGAATTTAGGCTTTCTTGCCGAATTTTATAAATATAGCAAGTTCCCTACTGCAAAATAAAAATAATTTACTATTCTACCCATTAATGTGAACAAGAAAGATCCATACTGAATTAACATTAAAAAGGCTTACTGAGGAAATATTCCATTACTTAAAATTCAACTGCTTGTGCCTAAGATACAGATTATCATTAAATTAAACAAGACATTGAGGCAGAAGAATTGAAAAGTTGGACAGGTAATAGACATGCAACTGATATTGATTACTGAATTGCAGATATGCCTGCCTTTTACTTTTAAATGTTGCTAAAGTTTGTTGCATAACAATCCAGAGAAACCTGATTTGCTGTTTTTAGAATAAAATTTGAAAGATTTTTTTTTGAATAGTATGGGAAGATCAATTATTATTTAGCTTTAAAGAGCAGGTGTTTGGAGGCATTATTTGATAAGTGTGTCTCAATCTCAGCTTGCTGACCCTCAAGCTAATTTTGTGTGTATGCATATGAGTATCATAAAGACAGAAAGAAATAGAAAGAAGTGCCAGTGGTTTTACTGGCTAGGGTCTTCTGCCCCAATAACTTGTTAACTATTCCAGGAGAATATTCTTTCACAAGGTGTTTTGTTTTGTTTTTTTGGTATCACCAACAGATTCTGTGACCCTGCAGCAGAATGCACAAATGGATTGAGCAGTATTGTCTACACACTGATTGGCATCTTCATATTTTCAGAGATACATTTTGTGCAATCCATCCTTTGCTATGCCAAGCCCTACTCTTCCCCCATCTCTTATTTTTGGTAATTTTATTCCACATCCCATCAGTGTTCCTAGAGGCTAATAATCTGACCCATCTACTTTAAAGGTTTTTTTTCTTAAGAGAATTTGTAAATTACTTGAGTATATAAAAGATTGGCTGCCCATGCTACTGTTACATCACAGCTGCAGGACCCAACTTTTTCTTGAAGCAATGTATTAAAATAATAGTTATCGATACAGTCTTAAAAGTAATTGATACTATTTAAATCTCATTCATGAATGAATCACATGATATTAATTTATGAATGAGATAAATTTATGATAATAATTTATGAGTCAATGATATTTTGGTCAAATAAAAATAAAACAACATGTCTCACTTTTCTAATCTCTGTAAACCATATGACACTTAAGCACTACCTATACAGTTCCAGTACTGGTCTGTAGAGCTGCATCATAAAGTCAATGCACAAATTTTTGTCTTACATAGTACTTTTTTGGTGCTATGGTCCCTGATTAAAGGGCAATGTTGTATTACTGGAGGAAACAGTTTGGTATCCCTGTGGACTGCAATTGTAGAAAAAATTATCTTTAATCAAATCTCTTTAAAATGTCTGAGGAAAACTGAATGTTTTGATTATATAGCATTGTCATTTTAATTCATTTAATTTCCCCAGTATTATTGCAGGATTGGGGGGAGTAGGAATGAAGTTCTTGTCACAGCTAATATCTACGTAGAAAGAAACAAATCTGTAATATCATTAAAAGTAGCTCATAATATAATCCTTAACAGAAGAAGCTATTTGAAAATTCTTGTGTATCAAATTGCTGTAAAAGAATCTAATAGGAAAACCAGCATTCCTAAGATCGAAAGAAAATCCTGCTGAAAAGCAATGTAATTTTGAGATTATATACATTTGTGGCAGCTAAAAGCAGGTATCTACTACTGTTCATTCTCATGCCATTCATTTCTGTTCTTTGGTGAGAATATGCAGTTTTCTCATTCTCTGTATTGTGATGCTTCATCTGCTGCCCTTACTGGAATTCTTGTAAGGAGTCATTAAAGGCACAAGATTTCTGACAGAAAAAGAAGAAGATACAAACAGAGTAAGAAACCAGTGTCCAGATTTTTCCATTTTTAGGATCTCTTGATCAGATAGTGGAGAAGGGTAAATTAAACCATATTTTAAAGGGTAAATTAAACATCATTCCACCAAAGAGTATGACCTGCAATAGATCATAGTCTTTGATGGAACAAATCCTCCCAGGCATAGAAATGATGTGAGGCTTTGCCAAGGACTTTCCCAAAGTCATTTGAAATAAAGTAATTGTCTCCCTCTTTAACAATCCAATTGTTAAATCAACCTTATTCCATTATTATGGAATTAAGATTGGCTGCTATTTGGTCGTGTCACTTAGAGGCTAAATTTGGAACACACTGACAAATACTTTGCCAAACACTTCCTGCACATCTTGTCCTATGCTTGGAAACTGTTCTCCTTTGTTTAAATGTTCTGTTGTATATGGATAATACATATGAATAGAGTAGCTTGTCCACCCCCCCCACCAAACCCCCTCCCACAACAACATCTAAAGGAGAAACCACTGGTTGTTGTCTCAGCCCAAACAGGTGTGCTACCACTTATACTCTTCCAGTAATTTGAAACGTCCCCTTACATAGCTCTCCAGTTTTGACCAGTACAGTTAGCATCATCCTTCAATGGCACTGCTGGCAAGAGCCAATAGAGGGGTCAATACCACCTGCAAAGCCACCAGGTATTCTCATCCAGGAGTCTTATTTCTGATAATTAGGTACCAGTCTGTTTTTCAGTTACATGATGTAAGAAGAATTAATGCTATGAATGGCAGAGATACTTGGCAACTGTTATTTCTTCTGGCTGTCAGCAGCTTCACATATAACAGGTGCAACTTTTCCTATTACTATCTTCTGAGAAAAATATAGGCTTGGTGGTTTGGCCAGCTGCTCGGGCTCTGAGCCACACAGTGATAGAATCACCTTATTAGAAACATTCTGTTTGATTTCTAGAGTAATTCAGAGAGGAAGGTTGTATTAGTCATGAGTATTTAATCTCTGCATTTTAAGGAAAATTGTTTGAAGGGGAATTCCTGGAATTTGTTTTCAATAAAACTTTCTTTCACTGTGGTTTTAGTATATTGGTAGACAGGTATATGACAATTTCTCACATCAGGCTTCCTTTAAATGAAACCAGCAATTGTGAAAGAAAGGACTCTTTGACTGTTTCCATTTGGGGTGGTTTCTCTTCGAAATGGCCTTCCTTTGCTTTCTTTCCAAGCTCCCTATTGCAACCACTTTGGTATACATGAGGAAAAACTACATGTTATTGTGAGGCATATCTCATAGACATGGAAGAAAAATGGGAAAGCACAACTTCCCTATGGCCAGGCCCGGCAATCAATCTGAGTGAAGGAAAGCTCTGAATTCATAGCCTTCTCTTTTCACCTTTGGCCCAGTCAATTCCTTCAGTCAGTTGAGTGAGTTCTCAGCAGTCTATTCTAGAGGGAGGGGGCAATACATCGCCATTGAGATAGTAATGGAAGTGCAGTGGTAGCATGATTGGTAGGGAAGGATATTGGGACTGTAGCAATTCAAGACATTTCAGAGGGAGTGTGTGTGTGTGTGTGTGTGTGTGTGTGTATGTGTGTGTGTGATGGGGGGGAAGGAATGAATCATCATCCAACCCCAAAGCCCTGAAAGATCACTGATAATCTAAAGAATATTTTGGGAAAACTGTGTCTTCTGTTGAAAGGCATCCTCCCATCCCATTCCCTCTTTTCTGCCCAATTATCTGCTTAAATTGTCATTAAAAGAAAAACTTTTGATTGGGCTTTAAGTCAATTACAAGCACCTTGCTCTAGAGTTGCTTATTAGATCAAGGAATGATCCCTGCTCTTCCACTGGATTTACCTTAGGGGCATTTCCCTGTACTATTAAAACCTTTGTGTTCCTTTTGCTGAGTGGTAATTGAAGTAACGGAGTGGGGGATTCTTACAAATATATTGTTAAATACATAACTGACTGAAAAAAAATCTGGATGATGACTAGATGGCAGCAGAAATAGAGAGATTTCTTAGTTGTTTCTTTCACGTAGTGGATTTTTGGCACCCACAAGAGTGTCTCTAAGGGAGTCTCCTCCTTTTTCCTATGATGATGATGTTGATGTTATGTCTTCAGCACTGAATGCCCTTTCTTTGGTGGGATGGCTCTGACTAAAATTTTCCACCCTTCTAAAAAGCAACTTATCTGCAGTTAACAATTTAATGCTTTAATTGCACTGATGTATGTTCTCGGCCATATGTTTATTAAAATATATGTGTGAGTGTATGTTTTTCAGTATTGGTATTTGTTTTCTCCAATTTTCTATCTTATGTTTTTTAAAGAATATTTAAAGTGAGCAATCATGTGTCCTGAGAAAGGAAACATGGGTGGCTAAGAGCCTGGACCATGTAACCCCTTGCCACCCATCCGTTCTCTGAAACCCATTCTAGGAAAGTTAACCCTTGTGAGCATAGAAGGGAATCTGTGCTCCCACAGTGAATTTTTAAGAACTGAGGACTCAAAGAGTAAAGTTTAAAACAAGGCAAATTCCTATACAGAAAATAAGACTGGGAAATCAATTACATTCTCTTTTTATGTTATCACAAAACATTTAAAATGGTAAATCTGACTTCTATTCTTGAATAGTCCTTCCATAACAGTGGAAAAATATAAATTGTTTTAGGGTCTCTTTCACAAAAATAATGGGGTGGGTTAAAAAAAATGAGAAACTTATTCAATGATGAGTTTGTTTGTATATATTTATTTATGCTTAATTTAATGGGATTGTGTAAATACGGCAAGCAAGTAGTTTGGGGATTATTTATCTGTGACTATACCTCTGTGAATGGGTGGGGAATTTCAAACTTGGGAGGGTTGAGATCAAAAAGCGAAAAAGACAAAAAAAAATATACAAGCGCTTGATACTAGATAGTACCCAATCTGATTTTTTTTTCATTCTTTATCGACAAACTGTTATGGTAATGGGTAGAACTTGGTTTCTTGTCCAGTGATGACCTGATTTACATAAATAAGAAGAATAAAAAGATTGTTGTGTTTTGTTGTATTTTCCTCTTCAGATTTTTCCCTCTCTCTTTTTTAACAAAAAAACAAAACAAAACATTGGTGCTGCTTCAGTGCTGAAGATGGATTTACTCCTGCAGCAGAGAAAACAAACAAAAACTTTCCCATTCTGGGCTTCTGGGAAATTCAGGACGTGGTTCTACGGTGAAAACAAAAACAAGCAAAAAATAAAAAATAAACGTTGCTTCTCAGAAGTGTTTGGCCATTTGACTTTGTATGAACCTGCTGATCATCTCTCCCAACCCAAGCAGCCTCCCCTTTCCTTTTTTTTCCTGACCAGTTTCTGCTTCCGCAACGCTGCCCAGGTGTGCGAGGACCAAAGGGGAGGGGGCGACAATTGTCCGGGCTCCGAATCCCGCAGTCCCTTCGTCTTTCAGCAAAACCGGCGTTAACAGGCAGCCGCAGCCGGCTCCTTTTGTCAAACAACCGCACTGAAAGTTGTCGGCCTCTCGCTGCCGAAAGCACAGATTGTCCCTCAAGCCTTTATTTCGTGTTAGGGAGGGCCTGCTCCACCCCCCACGTTTTAGGTGCGGCCCGATCCACCTCCCTAAGTGCCTACAATGGTTGAGCTTATGAACAGGAGGAGGAAAAACACGGAGAAGGGGAATATTAACGGGATTGAGTTAAAGACAGACATTTTGACTACTGGATTTTTGCCCGATCTCTGGGAATGAACTTGAGGCCTATCACCTAAATCCAGCTGGGGGCCCCCGGCGGGACCGCCTTGAAGAAGTCTGTTGTCTTGCCTGAGCTCCAGCAAGGGAACAAAATCTCCGGCCGAAAGTTTTGGGGGAGGGGGAGGGAAGGGGGAAGGTAAGAACCCGAATCTAACCCGGTTTACCTTCTGTAGAGCCCAGCCTTGAATCGAAGCGGGTGACGCAGGAGTAATTCCAACGGAATTCGATCAGTTTTACTCCCAAAATTAGAATCATTTGGATTTTTTTTTTAATGGGGGGATAGGATCGAGAACCTTGTTAGAGAAATCTTTTATCCTCGAATTTAAAGACGTTGAATTCTCTGGACTTGATTCCAGCGCCAAGAGGCTTCAAGCCTTCGTTTTTTGTTTTTCGTTGGAGTTAAAAGATTTGAGCAGCAATGTCGGCTGCCTTTAGAGTAACTCAGCAATATCACTGAGTGGTACTGTAAGAGACTTTCTCCCTATCGGAAATGGCCTCCATAAAGTAGAATAAATCCTTATCCATTTTTAGACATCTTTCGAGGAGGCATATGAATCTCACGAGTAAATATTACTAAATGGGCATGATCCACCAATGAGAAGGAGGTGCCAATGTATTATTTTCCACTGAAATTAATTGTGCGGGCATATGGGTGCGAATTAGGTCGTACTCTGTTTGAAAAGAAAAACCCAGTTCAACCCTAGGATTGTAGTTTCGCAGTTCAGTCAGATTGTGCAGAGGTTAAGCCCAAGGGACTAAGACCAGTAAACTGCTGTCTCGGGATGACTGCCAAAGACAGCTTTTATACATTTCAAGGCGAGGGTAAGTTAAGGGCAAAGACTGAAGGAAGCTTTCAGTTTTCATTTCAAGGAAGATGCTCATTTAATCCTCCCAGTGGTTTCATTACTCAGTGTCCCAAATATGGGGTGGAGGGGGTGGGGGAGGAGAGGAAGGAATTCCTCAAGTTTTATTTGAAAGTGCATCAGAGGGCTGACCTCATTTACTTTGATGTTCTTGGAAAGAGCTAACAATGCATAATGTACGTATCTGAAGTTTATTAAAAGGCCCTTTGCGAAACTATCAGGTGGAATCCGGTCTTAAAAGAAAAGAGGATGAAACTATGACCAAGCGAAGGGCAAATGTTTGGAATAACATAAATTTGAATTGCGTATCCAAACCATTTCAGTTCTACACAAAATAATATGCAAATATTTAAATGCCTACATTTTTGATTCCGGTTCTAATGGGAGGGGAGCAGGGAGGAAGCCAGAACATTCCTCTACTTTTCAATGATCTGTAACTCCTGCTCCAAATGAATTTTATGCAAAAATTCCTGTGTCTTCCACGATGCATCTACGCAATCCTTGCAAAATCTGCCTCCCTGAGATATTCAGTTGTAGCTGCTTCCTATCACTTTTGACAAGCATGGCCTACAACTAAGGATGATGGAAGATGTAGTCCAGCAATCTGTAGGGTACTGTGGCCAAGTCATTCATCCTTCCTTTGAACAATTCTGAGCCCAGTGTTCCAAAACAACCTGTTCCAAACTGGGGTCTCCAGCTATCCTGGGCTACAACTCCCACAATCCCTACTCAACAATCCCTTCACAGAATTGAAGCCCAACATGGTTGGAGGGCATCAAGACAAGGGTTGGGGTCTGAATTTTAGTAGACTAGATGCTTCATAGGAGGAAGACTGCTTTTGTGACTGAGAAAAAGTTCTTTTAAGCTTGCGGCATAATAGCACCTCCTACTAGGCAGGGAGAAAATGTGTCTTTCCCATGCAGGTTTTGCCATTGTAGCAAATAGAACAGGAGACACAGAATCAAAAGTACAGAGTTAATCGCCACTTAGAATGTGATCCTCGACATAATGATGTCATAAAGGCTGCATTAGGGATTTATAGTGTTATTTGACAATCTTGTGGCAATATAAAATCGCCTTCATTCCTGAAAGGGTGTAGGGTTGTTTGGGTGAGTCTAGAAAAGGCTTCAGATCAATAAAGAGGAAATGGCCATAGCACCAAAACAAGCCCTAGAGACCGCAGTGTGGTTTGTCGGATTGTCGAAACCCTAAAACAGGTGGCAGCAAGTAGCTGAATGGGGCTCATCTCCATCTCTAAGCTGGACCCAATTCCTATTTGAATGGGAGATCACAAGGTACCCTAGGGCTATGGATTATAAGGGGAAGTTGACAAAAGAAACTCAGAGGAAGGCAAGGAGAAACCATATCTGTATTGCTGCCAATGACCATTTGCCAGGAGCTGAGTTCAATGGGAATTTTACTTTTACTGGAAAAGCTGATCTAGATGAGGCAAAGGCAGTTTAGATGTCTGAGTAAGTAAAACACAGTCTTGACTTTTTATGACAGAATTGGGTCACAAGTTCACAATCTAAAAAACGACTCTGCTCTTAAGTTTTTCTAGCAAACCATTAAGCTTTTGTATTTACAGTAAATACTCTCCTATGTAGTAGCAGTAGCTACCAAATTTAATCCTGACTTAAGTGGAGTCGAGGACTGGTTTCCAAGGAGAACTTGGCCAGGATTACCTTTAGTTAAATTGGAGAATGATTATATAAAGAAAATTATAATAAAATTTTGATTTACATGTGTTCTCGGTGCTACAATTTTAAACAAATTTATCCAGAAATGAGTTTATTTCTGAATAGGCGTACGCTAAACTGTTGTTTTCTCTATTTGAAGTGGCAATTTGGTTATTAAAGTTTTGCCTTAATGTATATAGCTATAAGCAGCATTTTGTTCCTTGAAAACCTCAGGGAGAACTCTCCTCTAGACTGAACTTGAACTTAGTTTTGTAAGGTTTCCTTGTAAATAGTACCACTGAGTGGTGTGATGAACACCCAGTTTGAAATAATTAGAAATTCTGCTTTTATTCCTTGAGAAAATACTTATTTCCTAAGATGTACATTCCATTGAAATCAATGACGTTTACTGCTTTGTCGATCTGTTTGCAATGAAGACAAAAGATTGAAAGCTTAGATTCACAAGTTGTTTATTTTATCACTGACTTGAGTGGAGCAAATCAATCCTCTACTACTCCTCCCCCAATCATAGGCAAATGCATGCTGTAACATATAATTTATATTTGAATAGTCCCACTCAGTTCTATCTGGCATGTTTTACAATATGTGCCTCTGGTACATAGCCTTATATTTATTACAATTATAAAAGACTTATATGAAGAACTGTATCAATCAATTAAGCAGTCATAATTTCGATTGTTTTAAATAAGAGAAAAGATGACGTGGCTTAATTATTCTACTTCAGTCAAATATTAATGTCTTTTATTTTCATTATTCTCATTAGAAAAATCTGATCAAATGAGTTTTGTTTATTACTGATTTTAAATAGTTCAGTTAAAATACACTTTTTTGAGATAATGAAAAAATGTTGAATAAATAAAGACTGCAGAGCTATGCAGACTTATTTGGAAATAAACATAATTATTTGTATGATGATTAAACCGGAACAGTATATTAAATAGGCTGAAATTAGGCTTAAAGTTTAAAAATGTGTACCTCTCCGCTCCATCCATTAAAATTCACCTTTACAGCAATTTTTCTTCTCTTAGAACAGCCAATTAAAAATTTGTGGAGACTATCAAATAAAACTTTTTAAAATTACAAGCTATAACACCTTTTAGATTATTTCTAGCTTTATACATCAGTTATTACCTTGGCACTAATTCATACATACATACATACATACACACACACACACACAGAGAGAGAGAGAGAGAGAGAGAGAGAGAGAGAGAGAGAGATATTTCCCACCATCATATAAAATTACCTTCCCAAACTAGCACACTTCAGATATTTTGGATTACAACCCCCATAATTCACATCCATAATGGTTTCAGCTAGAGATAAGTACAGAAGTGTTGGTTCAGGCAGCCATCATGAAGATTACAAATGGTGATGAAATCCAGTTCAATTCCAATTTCTTTTGCAAGATAGAAGGGAAGGTAGACCTTTGATTTTCACCCTGCAGAAACTGGTTTCCAGGATTAGCATATTCCTTCGGCTGCTTCCCCCAGTAGTTTCCTCTTCTGGATATTTATTGGGTCTGGGTATCTTCTTAGAAATGGATTGTCCAATTTAAACCTGCAAGACTTGGCACAGTGCCAGTAGAAGTGGTTGCAAATTTAGATAGCAACTTTAATAGAACCCAATGGCTTTTACTTGCATGACAATATAGAAGGCAATAGAGAAGCAGCAGGGAAAAGGAAAACTGAATGAAAATCCAGACAAAAAGACACCTGAGCTT